ATTCCCGCACCGACCCTGGCCTCGGAGCATCCCCCGAGGTACCCCATCCTTGAGGCCCTGGTGCCCCTCATCTCCCTCTATCCCGGTTTTGGAGGCTCCTCTGCGCCTGGGGGGCTGGTGGTGGGGAAGCCCCGGTGGAGCCGCGCTGCTGGGATGCCACCTTGTTGGGGAGGACACCCCCACTGAGGTGGGAGGTGAAGGCCATGCCCTTCTCTGGGGGGCTTGCTTGCCTTGGGGTGTGGGAGCCACTTTTTACAGCATCGTGGGGCTGGGATGGGTGCACGGGTAGGGCTCTGCCCTTGGTTTGGATGGGCTTGGGTGGTGGAGCCGGCTGGTGGCCTTGGGTTGCAGATGTGTCCAGCTGCAGCGGGACTTTGGGATGCCTCTGGCAGATGGCTGGGATGCTGGGGGTTTCCACTGGTGTGTAGCATCCTGAGGGGCTCATCTCTCCCAGCAGTTAGGGAAAGCTGATCTCAGCCTTTGCTGGGGAGGGTGAATCAGCCGGTGAGCCTGTCCCCCATCGCTGCATCCTACTCCCCCTGGCATGACCAGCAGAATGAGAGCAAAGGGCTCTTCCAGCCCCAGGGTCTGTGCGCCCCTTACTCTGTCCCTGTGTCTAGGGAGATCTTGTAGGTCTGCTCAGGAGACCCATGTGCGCTCTGGAGGGCAGAGCCTCGGGCTTAGGGACAGGCGTGCTTGCCCGGGTGGCGTGGTGTGCTTCAGGGGGTGTTACCACAGCTCCTTCTTGCGGGAGGGTCCAGCCCTGTGATGGGGTGATGGCAGGTGGCTCGAGCATCTGCCGAACAGGCTGCAGGCTGGCTCCTGCACCTCTCATTGTCATGACATCCCTCGACGCGCCTGGCTGCTGCTGCCTGCTCAGGGTTGTGGGCAGGGAGCCCGAGGGTGGGCGCCGTGTCCGGATGCGCTGGGTGGGTTGGGCAGAGCCGTCCTCTCACCCGCTGTGCGTGGCGGTGGCCTCATCTGCCCCTGCTGAGACACGGGGTGCCTGGGAGCCCCCTCCTCCCCGTGGCCGGCTGGGCGGGTGGGCAGGGGAGCTGGGCCCCCCTTTTGCTCTCCC